ACTTTAAACTGAGACTAGTGATTATGTCTAAACTTTAAACTGAGACTAGTGATTATGTCTAAACTTTAAACTGAGACTAGTGATTATGTCTAAACTTTAAACTGAGACTAGTGATTATGTCTAAACTTTAAACTGAGACTAGTGATTATGTCTAAACTTTAAACTGAGACTAGTGATTATGTCTAAACTTTAAACTGAGACTAGTGATTATGTCTAAACTTTAAACTGAGACTAGTGATTATGTCTAAACTTTAAACTGAGACTAGTGATTATGTCTAAACTTTAAACTGAGACTAGTGATTATGTCTAAACTTTAAACTGAGACTAGTGATTATGTCTAAACTTTAAACTGAGACTAGTGATTATGTCTAAACTTTAAAACTGAGACTAGTGATTATGTCTAAACTTTAAAACTGAGACTAGTGATTATGTCTAAACTTTTCTTTCACCTTTGACACAGATTATTTTATTTAATAACAAAACAACATTCTACTGTCGTTAAACTGCTGCGGTCAGTTTACAGTGAATAAAAACATGTTTGTTGCTTTGTGAAAGTTATAAATGTGACTGAAGTTAGCAGCTAACGTCTCCGGAACTAGCATGAGGCTACTAGCTAAACACGCTAAGCTAACAGTAGGCAGCAGCAGTAAGCAGCAGCAGCAGTAAACAGCAGCAGCAGTAAACAGCAGCAGCAGTAAACAGCAGCAGTAAACAGCAGCAGTAAACAGCAGCAGTAAACAGCAGCAGCAGTAAACAGCAGCAGCAGTAAACAGCAGCAGTAAACAGCAGCAGTAAACAGCAGCAGTAAGCAGCAGCAGCAGTAAACAGCAGCAGCAGTAAACAGCAGCAGCAGTAAACAGCAGCAGTAAACAGCAGCAGTAAACAGCAGCAGTAAACAGCAGCAGCAGTAAACAGCAGCAGCAGTAAGCAGCAGCAGCAGTAAACAGCAGCAGCAGTAAACAGCAGCAGCAGTAAACAGCAGCAGCAGTAAACAGCAGCAGTAAACAGCAGCAGTAAACAGCAGTAAGCAGCAGCAGCAGTAAACAGCAGCAGCAGTAAACAGCAGCAGCAGTAAACAGCAGCAGTAAACAGCAGCAGTAAACAGCAGCAGCAGTAAGCAGCAGCAGTAAACAGCAGCAGTAAACAGCAGCAGTAAACAGCAGTAAGCAGCAGCAGCAGTAAAACAGCAGTAAACAGCAGTAAACAGCAGCAAACAGCAGTAAACAGCAGCAGTAAACAGCAGCAAACAGCAGTAAACAGCAGCAGTAAACAGCAGTAAACAGCAGCAAACAGCAGTAAACAGCAGCAGTAAACAGCAGCAGTAAACAGCAGCAGCAGCAGTAAACAGCAGCAGCAGTAAACAGCAGCAGCAGTAAACAGCAGCAGTAAACAGCAGCAGTAAACAGCAGCAGCAGTAAACAGCAGCAGCAGTAAGCAGCAGCAGCAGTAAGCAGCAGCAGTAAACAGCAGCAGCAGTAAACAGCAGCAGTAAACAGCAGCAGTAAACAGCAGCAGTAAACAGCAGCAGTAAACAGCAGTAAGCAGCAGTAAACAGCAGCAGTAAGCAGCAGCAGTAAACAGCAGCAGTAAACAGCAGCAGTAAACAGCAGCAGCAGTAAACAGCAGTAAACAGCAGCAGTAAACAGCAGCAGTAAACAGCAGCAGTAAGCAGCAGCAGCAGTAAACAGCAGCAGTAAGCAGCAGTAAACAGCAGTAAGCAGCAGTAGGCAGCAGTAGGCAGCAGTAAACAGCAGCAGTAAACAGCAGCAGTAAGCAGCAGTAAGCAGCAGTAAGCAGCAGTAAGCAGCAGTAGGCAGCAGTAAACAGCAGCAGTAAACAGCAGCAGTAAGCAGCAGTAAGCAGCAGTAAGCAGCAGTAAGCAGCAGTAGGCAGCAGTAGGCAGCAGTAAACAGCAGTAAGCAGCAGTAGGCAGCAGTAAACAGCAGCAGTAAACAGCAGCAGCAGTAAACAGCAGCAGTAGGCAGCAGTAAGCAGCAGGGACCTGTCTGAAGAGCAGTCCTCCGGTGCAGGACACGGTGCAGGACATGTTGGAGGCTCCGTGTGCTCCTCGGGCTGCGGGAATGAAGTGTCTCTGGTCGGACTCAAACGGAACCGGACCCGCGGTGCTTCCTCTGGTCCTGAGGCGCAGCGCGAGAACTGGTCCGACCGGTCTCATCCTGCCCAGGACAGAACACATGGTCCAGCCAGAGCAGGGTGTGTGTTTGAGCAGAGATGGTATCTGTACTGTCTGTGCAGAGCTGTGGAGACCAGAGAATATCCTGCAGGTCAAAGTTCACCAGGTCAGACCACGGTCAGATGCTGAGTGTTGTCATTGGGTAGTTTCACACACCCCACAGGAACCCGGAAATACTGCAGGATTATGGGCTATACCATGGATCTATTAGGAATAAGGCTCTAGCTTTAATATTTACAGTCTATGGCAAAGATCTATCATGGATCTACTCCAGTTTCTCTACATTTTAAACTTGGCTTTAAATGAATCAAATACATGCATTTTCTTAGATTAAAGTTAGTAGACCTACCTTTTTTCCCTTCAATAATACATTACCCCAACAACAAAATCCTACCATAAAGAGACATACCTGACATGAGCTCCACAGCCTTCACTGCTTGTGTTCCTCCAGCAGGTGGCGCCAGAACCCTGCCACTAAAACATGTCTCCACTCTCTGGGGCAGGACTCCCCTGAAAAAGACTCTGAAATCTCAGGGGGACTTTCCTGGTCAAGAAAGGGTCAATACCATAAATATTCTACCGGTTATGATTTATTTTAGCCCCAAATCCCAACAGTAGTTTTCTCTGAGGACTTCACTAAATGTGGCTGAATGTTGAGTGTCCTCATCGACGACTTGAAGCAAACAAACTTGATTCTGCTCGTTTTTGTGACACAAAGTAATCCAAAGTAATGTAACTAATTACTTATTTTTAGAATCAACTAGTACTTTGTAACTAATTACATTTTCAAGTAACTCAGTACATGTTGAAGTGACACACCTGAAACAGTGACCAGAAGACGCTCCGTTCTCCTCAAACCTTTTCTTCCAGATTCAGATTTGTTAATTAGGGTCAGTAACACCCACCGATACACACAGAACATAAAACACATTAACATTGACACAACAATCTCCTGATGTTATTTAGCAGCTGTTTGGACTGAGTTCTTAAACCTGTTGCTTTTGCACAGTGGGCCCTGTACCTCCCAGAATGCACCAGTTCATATGTGAGCAGAGAACATGGAGTCCCTGATGATGATCTTGGTCTAATCCCGGACTGTGGTCAGAGTGGACCTCCACACGCCCATGATCTTCTCTGGTTTTGCAGTCTCTGGATCTGAGATGTACATTTCCCTGTGACGCACCAAAGCAGCTCATTATTCCATGTCTCAAAACAGATTCAACACTGGTTCTGTAGAAGGTCAACATCACGTTTGAGCTCACTCCAAACACTCTAATCCTACGGAGAAAGTCCAGGCTCTGAAGGATCTCTGCACAGATGACACAGGATCGTGCCAACACAGTTTATTGTCCTTTTCCAAAACCTGCTCAGTTATTAGTCCATGAATCCAACGAGGATCTACAGTCAATCACATTCACTTCAGAAGATCTGATAATATACTGGTTGTTTCACAGTTGTTGATTCAGAAGAAAAATGGTGAGAAATATGTGTTGACAATAATATCCAAGAACCAACTTCAATGTTAATATGTGTCAGGCCTTTTAGAGTCTGCAGCGTCGGACTTTAAGGTAAAAATACATTTGGGAAGTTCCCACGCTCTGCTTCACACGAGCAGTATTTACATATTCACATTTACAAACTGTTCTAAAACTTCCTCTTTTTTGGAAGCGTTGGAGTCAAAGAGAAACTAACAGAATAATATGTTTAATTAGAAATTAAACCTTTGAATTAGCTTTGCAAGTTTTCTATTTGATTCTAACTTCTGTCAGAACTTGTTGAGTATGAAAGATCCTTGATGTACCCTGTATAGTGTCCATTATAAACATATATACAGAATAAATGCAGTAGATAAGCGCCGCTACAGCCACACGCAGAAAGCTGCTCTCCGTCAAGTGGGCAAAGCCTGGTCTGTAAAAAGCTCTATATCAATAGAATAATGTATTTGCATGTTATGTTATGTTTGTCCATCTTTAACATGTGTTTTTTGAGGTGTTGAATCGAGGAATTGAAACTAGAATGAGATCAAAAGTGAGTGAGAGAAAGCCCTAAAACTACACCAATACTACAGTCCAAGAGAAAGTGAAAGTCAAAGGCCTTCATATTGTTCAAACATATTCTTATGGTAGGAAACTTTTATTACTTCAAACAACAAAACCTTAACAGTTTGGGGGTCTGAATTTTTCGGAGAAAGACGAGAGTTCATGAACAGAACTATAATGCATTCAAAAGGAAGTACTCTCCAGAGCACTGTATCCAGCCGGAGCACCTGAGTCTGTGTTTACAGCTGTGCAGGTCTCCAAAAGGACCATCAGAGAAAAGTTTGATAATTGTGTGGATTGTCCTGATGGTTTTAACTGATCCAGACACCAGCAACGCCAAAGGGACAAGGACCTGAGAACGCAGCATCAGACACACCTCACAAAGACAGAAGGGCCCAAACAAGCCACAAACCATTAGAATCTACTGGACTAAAGGGGCCGTCCATAATCGACAGCATTACATATGTTACCTCTTCACATGTCATAGCATGTACACGATGGATTTAATCATTCATATTTACAATGTTTACCTTTCTTGTTATGTACAAGTTAAATATATATTAACAAATGCATTTCTATTCACAATTTGTCAGCTCAAAATGGAGTGGGAAAGAATTACAAACTGTTCTCAACCTAAAAAGAAAGGACAAGCTTGAACATCTGGAACAGCTGCGCAGCAAACCCAGAACAAAGAACCAACATTAGCATTGAGAAAACACTCAAATAAACTGCTTTGTTTCGCAATAACAGTCTTTCCAAACCAGGAT